TGGAAAAGTTGAGTCCAGTATTAGAGGAGGAGGTGAGCCGTATTGCTAATGTTCATGGTGAAGTTGAAAAGCTCGCCAGTAGTTTTCGAGCTGTCAAAGCTGTTCTTGAGGATGCGGAGCGACAGCAAATGGGGAAGGGAAAGGCCAGTGTTCGAGATTGGTTGTACAAGCTCAAGGAAGTCTCATATGACATTGAAAATGTGCTGGATGAGTGGAGCACAACAATTTTCACGTCAAATCTAGAGAAGAAGAAAGTATTTTCCTTCATCCCCTCTCCTTCCTTCTGTTTCAACAGAGGGACATTGCTTTACAAAACTGCACACAAGATATTGGAGTTGAAAGGGAGGTTAGATGTTATTGCAAATGAGAGAGAAAAGTATGGTCTTAAGGAATTAAGTGTTGAAAACCCAATTAGACGAGAGCAAACTACTTCTCTCGTAAATTTAGCAGAAGTGTGTGGTAGAGTTATGGATAAGGAGAGGATTGTAGATATTTTGTTGAATGAGGGTAGAATTGAGGTGATCTCTATGGTAGGTGTTGGGGGGATTGGTAAAACTACTCTTGCCAAAGTAGCCTTCAATAATGAGAAAGTAGAATCTCATTTTGAGAAGAGGATATGGGTGTGTGTCTCTGATCCTTTTGATGTGATGAGGATTGCCAAAGCAATTCTTACATCTCTTGGTGAGAATGCTTGGCAAAATTTGGTTGAATTGGAGGATGTAATAAAACTCCTTAGAGACTCAGTCAAGGATAAGAAATTCCTACTTGTCCTAGATGATGTGTGGACTGAACACTATGAAAGGTGGGGTCAATTGAGAGACTCGTTGAGTTCTGGCTCACTGGGAAGCAAAATCTTAGTGACCACACGTAAGGAGACTGTAGCAAGAACAATGGGTTGCACTACCTTGTTCCCAATGGAGCAGTTGTCTGAAGAAGAAAGTTGGTCATTGTTTTGTCAAATAGCATTTTTGGGGAGATCCAATGAAGATCATGAAAATTTGAGAGAAATTGGTAGGAAAATAGCAGGAAAGTGCAAGGGCTTACCACTTGCTCTAAAGACAATGGGTGGTCTTATGCTCTTGAAAAAAACCATAAAAGAATGGCAGAGTGTCTTAGACAGTGAAATATGGGAACTTGAAGTGGCTGAGGAAGGTCTTTTTCGCCCCTTAATGTTTAGCTATTTTGATTTACCATCACACTTGAGGCAATGTTTCTCGTATTGTGCAGTCTTTCCAAAAGATTATGTGATAGAAAAAAGTAAGTTGATTGAGTTATGGATGGCACTAGGTTTCCTTAAGGGGACCAGACATCGAGATATGGAGGTTGTAGGGGAAGACTACTTCAATGACTTGTCAATGCGTTCTTTTTTTCAAGATTTTGTAAAGGATGAAAATGGTGACATTATCAGGTGCAAAATGCATGACATAGTACATGATTTTGCTCAGTTTTTGACAAGAGGTGAGTGTTTGACAGTGGAAGCGGGAAGCAGTAGTAGCATTGAAGGTTTTAATGAGAGTGCTCGTCATGTGATGTTGATGATTCAATATGATAGTGCTGAATGTCCTTCTTGTATTTATGAAGCTGAAAACTTGCACACTTTGCTAGTTGATTCTGATTCTGATGAATTCGGTGAGTATGATGTAGATTTACTGAAGTTGTTTGATAAGCTGAAATTCCTGAGAATGTTGAAGTGTCAATCTGATAGCATTGATAAATGTCCAAAACAGATAGGGAATTTGATACATTTAAGGTCTCTTGACTTGTCAAATAATAGGTGGCTAGAGGAATTGCCTGATGCAGTTTGTGATTTATACAATTTGCTTATACTAGACATTAGCGGATGTAGGAAGCTTAGAAGTTTGCCTTGTAGAATGGGAAATCTAATAAATTTGTGGCATCTTCGGAATGAATTTACAGATTGTGTGGAATTCTTGCCTAAGGGAATGGAGAAATTGACTTGTTTGCGAACATTAAGTGAGTTCGTGGTGGACAGTGGTGGTAAAGGAGCTGCTCTTAGTGAATTGGGAAACTTGATTCACCTTCGAGGGGATCTTGAGATAAGAGGATTGACAAATGTCAGAGATGAGAGAGAGGCTGAGAAGGCACAGTTACGAAATAAGAAGGGGCTCACTGCTTTGGTTCTGACTATTGGTTCTACTCGGTTTGATAAGAGCCAAGTTTCTGAAGCATCTGTTCTTGTTCTTGAAGCCTTAGAGCCGCCTTTAGGCTTGGAATGGTTAGACATATGTAACTACAATTGCCCAACCCCATCCTTAGGGGTTTGGCCCAGTTGGATAGTGTCTCTAACCAAGCTGAAGTTGTTTGGGCTCTATAATTGTGTCAACGTTGAACAGTTGCCTCCTTTATGGAAATTGCCATCACTGGAAATGCTCTCTCTGCGGATAATTAGAGGAGTGAAAAAGGTGGGAGTTGGATTCTTGGGAATAGAAACGTCATCTTTGTCTCCATCTTCTTCTTCATTAGCTGTTGTTGCCTTCCCCAATTTAAAATCACTAGAATTGATCCTCATGGAGGAGTGGGAAGAGTGGGATTATGGAAGCAGAGGAGAAGAGGATATCAAAATCATGCCACGTCTTTCTTCCTTGCTGATTAGTGGATGTGAGAAGTTAAAGATGTTGCCGGATTCTATTCTCCAAAGTACTACCCT